TCAATCTTCAGTTACTGGAAATAATTTCAGATTCTTCTACAGCAAAGGAGCATGATGCACACAAGTACGTTTTTGACTAAGAAATCCAAAACATTCAAACAATCATTAGAAAGTTATATTTAGTCTACCTGGGAAAGTTATATGAGTTATACTGATATAATTTTCCACTTGGAAATTTAGTTCAGAGTAAGAGTGATTATTTTTGATTTAGCTTGAACCTTTTAAAGTGACATATTTATCTTGGAATAAGAACCTCCACATAGAGATTTATAACAATATAACTATACTGATTTAAATTAATTCTTTAGCTTATACCCGTGGTGCACAATGTCTCTGGCCCATGGGGCAGATGATTAATGCCATGTCCTTCTGCTGGCCAGATGCAGCCTGTGAATCCAACCCAAAGTGCAGTGCTGGCCCAGCTAGGGCCCAATTCAGCTGTGCAGGAAGGGTCTCACCAGGACCAGTTTAGCCTAGCCCTGGGGGAAACAGGGCCTGATCCCTATGCGTGGAGCCAGCCCAGATGGGACTGATCCAGCTGCACAGGGCTTGGACATTTGACAGTGGGGGAATGGTGGCAACTTGCACTGCTCCCCAAATGCCCCATTTATAGCCCTATGAGGAGCCCCACAGGCTGGATGCCACAGCTCTGGGGGCTGGTTCTGACCTATGGGGTGGGGTCTGAGTGCCCCAGTTTATACCAATATAACTTTCCAACAGAGACAATGCTAGGACTTGGGCTTTGTTACAGTCAGGGTGTAGACCATTTCTCTCCATGTCTAATGGCCATGGACCATCAACATATTAGCATGAAGTAAAGAATAGAAAGGATTTATAACACATCAGCTGCTCCATAGTAATTGCTCATAGTCAGCTTCTTATCCCACAGCAGATCAAACATTAACCCATGAGCTTAATGAGACCTTACATACATGCTCTTTTTGAACCCCAACACTTGCCAGCTAGAAATATCCTACAAAGAGCTAGCTGTAAATGAACACACAAAACATGGTAGTGCTACCAGTATGGTCTCCTTGATATTTTCCCAAAGAGGGTCTGAATTCATTTTTCAATCCCTGTCAATCCCACTATTTCCAGGGTAGCAAGATTAACCAACCTCTTATCAAATGGTATTTCTACTGCCTAGATAAACTATAGGAAACAGCAGAAGCACTAGAGTGGTTTTCATCTATGAGTTGACATTTTTTAATATTATGAGACAAGTACAGGGATTTACATTCCAGTGAAAGGACAATATAGAATTTGATGGCTTAGGCCCCTTCACTCAAAGGATTTAGGAGCCCTTTTTCTTGCTAGAGATTGCAAATACTCCACTAAAACTGTTTTGTGAATGCACAATATTTGTACTTTACGAACACAGATTCTGGCCTAACATTACTATGATTAGACACACGCTGCAGCTCTAGTGAAGAACAGAACACACTTTAGCAGAATGATTGTTTCCAGTCCTGTAGTACTGAAGTCAAAAGAAATTCTTCCAGCGTTCTTAAAGCGAACATACAGCTTCCTAGGAGGAATATTTTGCAAGATGTTTAAAGGAACTCTGCTCTCAGTCGTATTTAGATCACTTTAGCCTAATCTTAATTACTCTTTGCAAATGAGTTTTGGAAACTAGTGCTAAAAAGAAATCAAATTTATTTGGAACGCAATTAAAAATCAGTTAGGCACAGCTCTATTGCTACATTATGAGGTATTACCAAACAAGAGAGAAGAGTTAAACCTCTAGCAGAAGTTGAGATTATTGCATAATGGAAAGCCTCTAAAATAAGAATAGCAAGCCTCTATATGCTCCTTAGCAAACCATGAGACACAGCAGTCAAGAGCTGCACAAATAATCTTCAAATTGGAAAACATATCCCACTTCCCTTTGGTGAAGGGGTTAGGCTGCTTATTGCAGCTTCTGCTATAAAAGCAGCACAGAGCCAAAGTTAAGATTGGGAAAGACACGTCCAACTTCAAGGTTTCATTTCATACAAATCTTACCATCAACATGTAGAACTATAAACAATCAGAAACTAAAAACTACGCAAGTATTTCATCAAGTTACACTTTCATGTTACTTATTGGATGTCCATAGCACCAATAAGTCAGTGAGAAGTCACTTTAACTGCCATTAGAAAAGCACTAGTACTTTTACAATGTTCATCTTCTGAACTTTGGTTAAGTAACTGAATATCAACCTTTTAGTTATACAACAGTGGACGCCAACTTTTTTTGTTAGGTGCCACAAATTAGCCCCACACCCTCCCAGAGTGCCACTCCAATCCCCTTCCTCTACCTAATCTACTGCTCTACTTTCTACTCCATGCCCCATCTTTGTCCAACCTACTGTTGTGCTTTCTGCTTCCTGCCCTATCTGCTGCTTTATTGCCTATTCCCTCCAAATTTATCAAGTGCCACACATAGAGACTGCCCATGTCACTTGTGGCATACAGGCAGCAGACTAGCCATATACCCAGTATACCACACCAACATCATCTTCAACCAATTCTCTCTTATTGGGAAACCCTTTTCACCAATTGAGATAAAAAACAGAAAGCATTTTTGTGACAGCAGACAATCACTAACCATTAACAGCACTGAGAAAAGAGATAAAAATCCTTCAAGCCCTAAACAGAGCTCCAAAATCTCTCCTGGCAACACTTCCTCAAAATTCCCCAACTACATGGAAAACAGTACAAAACAGGCTAAATACTATGAAAGGGAGGGGAGAAGGGAAGAAAGTGATGGACATATGTATAATTTGAAGGATTCTATTCTCTTAATGCACTAAAACTTCACTGTGTAGCATTTACTGTTGAGAGAAATCACAAGCAAAGAATAAATTATTTTTTTCCATGCTCCTCCAAGAGGTATAGGGCAAAGTCTAGAACCCCGTGTACTTGCAGAAATCTCTTCCAGCAACAAGCCGAAACTTTCATTATTGCACAAATATTATTTAAACTTATTTCGTCAACTTGAGATGCAGTATACTCCATATTAAGACTTAGATGAGAGAGGGGCAAGTCATAGAGAATTCAGAGGCCAGTCCCTGGTAATAATTAGCATGACTTTTATTAGCAGCAAAATGCAACTAATACTCAAGTCCCTGATGTAGTATTAGTCTCATAGTAGAAAAAATGAAACTAAAGAGTTAAAGAAGCACAAGTGACAAAATGAGTCAGAGGTAAAAGTGGAATTAGCACAAAAAAACCTTGAAAATTCCTGGCTCTCCATCCAATTCTCAGTCAATAAATCCGTAATGCTTGCCAAACAATCAGAGGCTTGTCCAAAATTTGTCCAATTCACTTGGTAAGGAGCAGCCAGGCTCAAAGTCTCACAAGAACAGGCTGCTGGGGGATTTGTTGCACACTGAGGAGACTGTTAGCCTTACATAAAAATAACTGGCCTCCACTGGCTTCCTTCTTGGAAGCTAGAAATACTACACCGCCCCACTGCTAATACCGAAGCAATCACCTGGACCACAGGCTTATTTGGTACAGAAAAGAATAATGGGCATGGGTCCACACCTGAACAGCAGGGAGGCATTGGGTTCTCTGTTTTTCTTGCTACCAGGCCCAGAGGACAGGATTTTGTTATCGCTATTGGGGAAAGACCATGTTCTCTCTGTTCCCCAGACCAGCCTCCGAACTGCACTCGAACAGGGACTGGCATGACTCCAGCTGACATGCACCTGTGGGGATACTCTAATGACACCAACCCCGTGGGTGAACATGGAGGCAACTTTCAAACTACACAACCCCTACGGGCATACCCACATCTGGGAGGACCAACAAGGACTTTGCTAAGGCTACGGATCAAGCAATAGCGGGTGCCTGTTTGGGGACTCAAATTTGAACATGGCAACAGGCCTTTTGCTATGTCAAGGGGTATCATGGGCCAGCGCCCAGAAAGGAAAACTAATAAGAAGGGAGGTCACCAAGGACACTAATAAGAAGGGAGGTCACCAAGGACATAGCAATTGATTTCTGGGGACAAGGAAAGAAGCCAAGAGGGACGGAAGCAAGGGTCAAAGGGTGATAACGACGCAGTGGCTCAGAGCTCACGGGCTCGAGGAAGGCAGGGTTCCCTGACAGCTGTCATGTCTGCAATGGCTCACCACGGGGGCCTGGGACACAGGCTTTGGAGGCCTGCATTAGTGCCTCATGGGGGGCTAAGGCTGGCTCGAAGCAGGGCAGCATTCCCGCCTTTAGTGCCCTGCGCCAACAGACCAGACCAGCAGGGCTCTGCCCAGACACTCGTCACTGACGCTCCCTTGAGCGGCTG